GATCAAGTCGCCCTTGGCATCCTAATCCTGACCGACGTGATCGGGATCTCAAGCTCGAGCTGCCTGAGCGCATATCTGGCCCAGAGCTGGTTGCAGTCGAAACTTGTGTGACGCTTCATCAGCTCGAGCTCCAGATCCGACTCGGTTCCGAAACGGAACGAGGTGACACGGGGTGCAGGGCGTGTGGACGCGCCAACGAATGCGCAAAGGGCGCACAGGGGAGGAGGAGGAGGAAGAGGAGGAGGAGGAGGAGGAGGAGGAGGAGGAAAACGAGGAGAAAGAGGAAGTGGAGGAGGAGGAGGAGGAGGAGGAGTAGGAAGAGGAGGAGGAGGAACAAGAGGAGGTGGAGGTGGATGATGAGGAGGGGACGTCAGGGAACGTGGCAAGGGACGCGCCACGGAATAGGCAGGGAAAGCGCTAGGGGACAAGGCCAGGAACGCGACAGAGGACAAGCCAGGGGGCGGCCGACGGGGGAAGGGGCATGCGTAGCTCCACACGCCTTCGCGCTGTGGCGCTGTGTCACGCTTGTCCCACTCTGGGGCGTTAGAAATCCACGCAGTTTCACGCTTGTTCCACTGGGGCGTTAGGGGCCCACGTGGTTTCACGCTTGTGCCGCCCTCGGGCGTTGCGAGCCCACGCGTTGTCACGCCTGTCCCGTTTCTTGGGGTTTTGCGAACCCACGTGTTCTCACGATTGTCCGGCTTTGGAGCGTTAGGAACCCACGTGTTGTCACGCTTGCCCCGCTCTGGGGCGTTAAGAACCCTTTTGTTTTCACGTTTGTCCCGCCCTATGGCGTCAGGAACCCAGTGTGTTCACGTTTATCCCGCTCCAGGGCGTGAGAAGCACATGTGATTTCAGAGTTGTACCGCTCTGGGGCGTTAGGCACCCACGTGATGTCACGCTTGCACCGCCCTGGGGCGTTGGGGACCCACGCGTTGTCCCGCGTGTCCCGCTCCGGGGCGTCAGGGGCCCACGCGCTTTCACGCTCGTGCCGCCCTCGGGCGTCAGGAACCCACGCGCTGTCCCGCGTGTCCCGCTCTGGGGCGTTGGGACCCAAGCGTTTTCAGGCTTGTCCCACTCGGGGGCGTTCGGGACCATCTTTTTTTTCACGCCTGTCCCGCTCTGCGGCGTTGGGACCCCGTGTGATTTCACAGTTGTCCCGCTATTCTGCGTTGGGGGCCCGCGTGCTCGTTTTTTCGCGCGTGCGCCGCCCTCGGGCGCATAAGCCGGGCGCTGGGAACCCACGCATCGTCACGATGGTCCCGCTCTGGGGCGTTACGAACTTACACCTTAGGCGATGCTTAAGAAAACTTAAGTTTTCGGCCAGATTCTCGATTATTCTTAACGTTTCAATGTAAATCCTATGATTTTGATAGAATTGTTGGGTTTTTATTCAAATTCTGAGACTATGAATTTCTTAACCCATGATTTCTTAAGCATTTCGCAGGGTGTACGTGTTCTCACGCCTGTCCCGTTTGGGGGCGTTCGGAACCCATGTGTTGTCACGCTTGTCCCGCTCTGGGGTGTTACGAATCAACGTGGTCTCACGCCTGTGCGCCTCTTTCGGCCGTCAGGGACCCACCCCGTTGTCGCGCTTGTCCCGCTCTGGGGCGTTAGGGACCCAAGCGTTCTCAAGCGTGTCCCATTTCGGGGCGTTCGGAACCCAAGTGCTGTCACAATCCCATGACCGCGATCCCGTGTTAATGACGGTTCCAGCGCAGGACCAGATCCATTTGGGCGTCTTAGGGCGCCCCAGGTTTTCAAGCGTTGGAAATCAAGCGGCTCGCTTGGGACATCTTCAAATATTCGACACCCAGGGCTTGCCATCCTCGAGCGGGCCCAAGACAGCAGCGCTATTTCGAAACGGGTCGCTTCTGCAAAGCGAGCGCGGGGCTCGAGACAGCCTCGGGGAGCCTGCGCGCAGGGCGCGCCGTCCTCGAGCGGGCACGACGCAAGTCAACATTCGATACATTGTTGAAAATCACAGGGTCTCCGAACCCTGTCATTCATCGAAGATGCTGCGCAAGACGCTTCGCACCCTTTCTCCCGAGCATTTTTTTCTTTGGGTGGAGGGCAAAGGGTGAAATCTGAAATGCCGTTTCGATGGATGGTCCAGGCTTGAATTTGCAGAAGGTGAATCACAAGACGGCTTGATTCTCGAGGTGCAGCCCCTATGGATTTCACCCTGAGCCCTCCACCCTAAGAAAATGCTCAGTTCTCGCAAAGGAAAGCGGGGGTCTTCGGACCCCGTGTTTTATCGAAGACACGAGATGGGGGGGGGTCTCGAGCGGGCACGCGCAACATTGGTTGTTTCAAACAGCATCGAGCTGTAGCTAGGTATTCATCGCAGATGCTTCCGCTGGCCCACCCCCAGCATGGCACCGGGGGCAGTGGAGCACAACCAAACGAGAACCTGGGGCCCCCGCCCCCTCCGGGAAGACTATCAGAACTCCCTGATCTCGCTAGTCGTTACGTTCTGCTGCTGCGTCGTGCCTCGCATGGCGTCGCTGGGGGCCTTGCTGGCTCGTGGGGCATCTCGAGAGGTTGAAGGGGCCCTGGGACACACGAATGCATACACACAAATACAAGATTCCCCATATTTTCCCGTATTTTCTGGGTTTCTGTATTCCCCCCCCCCCCCGCACTTCCCATGTTTTCTCCCATATTTTCTGGGGAATCGAGGATGAATTGCTTATGTTTTTTTTTCTCCCCCTCCCTGATGGTCCGCTACCGAAAATTTCCGGTAGCGCTCCGCAGAGATCGGTCGCTACCGAAATACCGAAATGCAGCGCCCAATACCGGTATCAGAACGTTCCGAACTCCGCTTTTTCAACGTCCTCAAACGAAGATCCGGTCGCTACCGAAATTCGGGGTGCGTCGAAATCGCCACCGAAAATTTCCGGTCCCAGACCATCTGGGCTCGCGGCATCCCGGGGGGGGGCGCACAGACGGGGGGCGCGTCGGAGCCCTCGGGCGGCCGTGGGGCGTGGAGGGCTGGTTTTGGGGGGGGGCAGGCTGCAGCGGTCTTGGGCTAGGTCCTCCTCCTCCTCCTCCTCCTCCTCCTCCTCCTCCTCCTCCTCCTCCTCTCTCCTCCTCTCCTCCTCCTCCTCCTCCTCCTCCTCCTCCTCCTCCTCCTCCTCCTCCTCCTCCTCCTCCTCCTCCTCCCCTCCTCCTCCTCCTCGGCCTGTCCCCCTACAGTTACCAGTTTGAAGCATATCCCTATCCCTATGTTTGATATCATCTTACGTACCTCGATGCCGATCTTGAGAATTCCTCAGTTTCTGAGGGCCTGTCCCTACGATTGTCTTCGTGTGTTGCTCGCCCATCTCAGGGATAGGGATACGTTCGAGGCTGGTTATAGAGGGGGAGCTTTGGCCGACAAATAACACATATTCAAAAGAAACTCCACACATGCTTTAGAATTGTCAAAACATAGTCCCCAGACTATGCTTTAATCATTTGTTGGCTATTATGGAGCATGTTTTGGGGCGTCGAGGGCTGGTTTGCGGGCAGGTTGCAGCGGTCTTAAGCATGCTCCCAACATGTTTTAGAATAGACAAAAAAAATAGTCCCCAGACTATGTTTTGATTATTCCCCAATCAGAGCTTACTTCTGTAGGGGTCCTAGCGGATATAAAGCTGAGGTGAAGTGAGCGGCCGATTTCGGTGGCCGGGGCCGGGGGCCCGAGGGCCCGGGGGCCCGGGGGTGTCCGGGTGGCCGATTTCGGTGGCCGGGCCAGGGTGCCCGGGTGCCCGGGTGCCCGGGGGTGCCCAGTAGCCCAATAGCCCAGTAGCCCTATAGCCCAATAGCCGTATAGCCCTGTAGCCCTGTAGTCCTATAGCTTTATATCCCTATAGCCCTAATAGCCTTATATCCCTAAAGCCCTATAGCCCCATAGCCCATATAGCTCTATAGCCCCATAGCCCTATAGCCCTATGGCCCTATAGGTCACAGTCCTATAGCCCGATAGCCGTATAGCCCAATAGCCCTATAGCCCTATAGCCCTAACAAAAATCTGATTGGGGTTTTTCTCCGGTATCATTATTTGACTATTATGGAGCATGGTTTGGGTATGTGTTGTTTTCCATCGAGAATCCCTTTGTAGGGGGACAGGCCCGACTTAAGTCTTGGGGCGGTCGTCGGCCCTCTTGGGCGAGAGGGAGAGTTCAAGTCTAGGCCTCCCAGATGGGGTCGGAGTAGATGTGGTCGGTGGATCCCGCCGCATCGCCGATGCATCGACGATGCGGCTCGGTGCGGAGACAGTGTTTCCACCCGCCGACGTCGCCGATGCATGGCCGACGTCGCCGATGCATCGCCGATGCATGGCCGATGCATCGGGATGCATTGGCGATGCGGCGCGATCCTTCGACCCCATCTACTCGGACCCCACCCAGGAGGCGTCTATCAAGAGAAATCAAAGTTCCGGGCCTATCGGATTCTACGTGTCAAGCTACATGCTTCGTGGTGTGGTCCTCTACTCGTGGTGTAGTCGTCGGTGTTCTGCTCTCGTGATTCGCTTGCGGGGTGGACAGAACCCCCAGCAGTGGCACGTCGATTAGTGAATTGTCCGTTTTCGGTTCTCGAGAGGGCACCGTGGCCGTTATTTTCAAGGCTTGCGCCCGCCAGGTTTGGGCCCGAGGTCGTTTTCACTAAACCACGTTTTACTAAAGGGAGGTCTGTCCATCCCCGATTCCTAGGTGGCCACCGGGAGACCCTGCCAGACAGCCGACAGGTCTTTCAAGACGCCCCAGTCGGGGAAACGTAAGACTCGAGAGGGCCAGAGCTCGAGTGTGCCGACGCTGTTTGACGAGCGCGTCCCGGAGGTTGACGGTCCTGATTTCGTGGGATGTTTGAAGCGAGAGTTCGCGTGAAATGTCAGATTGGGTCTCGTCATTTTTATGATGGCCCGGTCAGGCCAACCCGAGTCCCCCGTACCCGAGTCTTACGTCTCCCCGACCCAACATGCGCACGGCATGGGCACGGTGGCGGAAACTGCTGAGGCACATTCGGAGATGCCGTGCCCATTTATACGTTTAAGAAAACGAAGTGGCACGAGCAGTGCATGACATCTGCGGACAGCAGAGGCCTTCGCTATGAACCGGTTTCAACTTGGTCATTGCCCATGACGCCGTGGGCGTTGATGATAACTTTACGCCAGTATCGTAACTGGCAAGTTTTCCTTGAACTTGATCTTAGATCTTAGACTGTGGTGGGCTCTGCATCTTGGCTCCAGGGGGGCAGTCTCTGAGCCAAGAGACTTGCCGCACGTCACGATTCACAGATCCACAGCCACCGCATACCCCAGGTTGTGTGTGCGCTTTCTTTAACGAGGGGATGGAGGGGGGGGAGCTCCTGGAAGGCCCAGGACCAGTACTCAGAAGCCGGGCGAAGGCTGGCGACCCCGTGGCTGCTAAAACGGAGCTCCCGGAAATTGTTTTTTTCCTTCCGGGAAGCAGCCCGTTCATCATTTTCAACGGCACCGTAACGGGTACTTACTAACGGGTACTTTGAGTTTTTGCCGAAAGTTGCCACTTTAGGGCCTTTTTCTTGCATTGCAGCTTTGCCCACATCGGGAAGTGTTGGGCTCGCTGGGTCAGTGGCCAAAGTACCCGTTAGTGGAGTCCCCGTTTGAGGGGCGCTGACATTTACTGCGCTGAGCTTGATTCCGGGAATTTGTGTTTTGTTCCGGGAAGACCGTTTTAGCAGCCACGCATCTGCCAGCCCCCGCGCAGCTTCCAAAAGCACAGAGCCCTCCACTGCGCCGCGCGGCGCCCTGGAGCGTCCCAGGGGCACGCTCGGGACCCGCCCGGAGACTTCCAGATTGTCCCGCCCCGACGGCATCTTCACCTGGCCCGTGCGCTTGCACTCCAACGTTTTTTGTCTGTCTGCCCTCGGCGCACCGATGCAAATCGGGAGAACATACATGCATATGAGGGTTCGAGCACCGCAGAGGCCTCCGTGGAAAAGCAAGTGCTGATCCACGGTAGGGAGCTGCAAAAGCAAAAGACAATTATTTTAGCGAAGGAAACAACCATATGCAGCTGCGCGTGCCGCAACAGTGAGTATCTTTTTTCGGTAGCGATCTTCAGGGGGCCACGAAACGCATGAGTGCTGTGCCGGGGCCTTCGGTGGAGCTCCCTGTGGGGCCACGAAACGTGCAATGGGTGTGCCGACATTGGTGTTGTGGGCGCATTGGAACGCAGCCACAGGGGCCTTCGGTGGAGCTCCCTGTGGGGCCACGAAAATTGTGAGGGCTGTGCCGCATTGGGTGCGGTGGGCGCATGCGAACGCAGCCACTGGGGCCTTCGGTGGGGCTCCTGGTGGGGCCACGCAACGTGTGAGGGGTGTGCCGACATAGATGCGGTGGGCGCAAGCGAACGCAACCACAAGGGCCTTCGGTGGGGCTCCCTGTGGGGCCACCAAACGTGTGAGGGGTGTGGCGAAATGGGTGCGGTGGGCGCATGTGAGCGCAGCCGCTGGGGCCGTCGGTGGGTTCCCTGTGGAGACACTAAACGTGTGAGTGGTGTGCCGACATGGGTGCGGTGGGCGCGTGCGAACGCAGCCATTGGGGCCTTCGGTGGAGCTCCCTGTGGGGCCACGAAAAAATTGTGCGGGCTGTGCCGCACTGGGTGCGGTGGGCGCATGCGAACGCAGCCATTGGGGCCTTCGGTGGAGCTCCTTGTGGGGCCACGCAACGTGTGAGGGGTGTGCCGGCATGGGTGCGGTCGGCACATGCGAAAGCAGCAATTGAAACCTTCGGTGGAGTTCCCTGTGGGGCCACGAAGCGTGTGAGGGGTGTGCCGAGCTGCAGCGTGCGGTGGGCGCGTGCGAACGCAGCCATTGGGACCTTCGGTGGGGTTCCTGGTGGGGGCACGAAACGCGCGAGGGGTGTGCCGGCATGGGTGCGGTGGGCGCATGCGAAAACAGCCACGTGGGTACTTCGGTGGAACTCCATGTGGGGCCACGAACCGTGTGAGGGGTGTGCCGAACTGGGTGCGGTGGGCGCATGCGAACGCAGCCACTTGGGCCTTCGGTGGAATTCCCTGTGGGGCCACGAAACGTGTGAGGGGTGTGCCGAACTGGGTGCGGTGGGCGCATGCGAACGCAGCCGCTGGGGCCCGCGGTGGAGCTCCCTGTGCGGCCACGAAACGTGTAGGGGGTATGCCGAACTGGGTGCGGTGGGCGAGCGCAGCCATTGGGGCCTTCGGTGGAGCTCCCTGTGGGGCCACGAAAATTGTGAGGGCTGTGCCGAAATTGGTGCGGTGGGCGCATGCGAACACAGCCACTTGGGCCTTCGGTGGAGCTCCCTGTGGGGCCACGAAACATGTGAGGATTGTACCGAAATGGGCGCGATGGGTGCATGCGAACGCAGCCATTGTGGCCTCCGGTGGAGCTCCCTGTGAGGCCACTAAACGTGTGAGGGGTGTGCCGAACTGGGTGCGGTGGGCGCATGCGAACGCAGCCACTGGGGCCTTCGGTGGATTTCCTTGTGGGGCCACGAAACGTGCGATGGGTGTGCCGGACTGGGTGCGGTGGGCGCATTCGAAAGCAGCCCTTGGGGCCTTCACTGGAGCTCTATGTGGGGCCGCGAAACTTGTGAGGGGTGTGCCGAACTGGGTGCGGTGGGCGCATGCGAACGCAGCCACTGGGGCCTTCGGTGGGGTTCCTTGTGGGCCACGAAACGTGTGAGGGGTGAGACGACATGGGCGCGGTCGGCGCATGCGAACGCAACCGTTGGGGCCTTCGGTTCAGTTCCTTATGGGGCCATGAAACAATTGTAAGGAGTGTACCGAAATGGGTGCGGTGGGCGCATGCGAACGCAGCCACTGGGGCCTTCGGTGGAGCTCCCTGAGGGGCCACGAGCCGTGTGAGGGCTGTGCCGAAATGGGCGCGGTGGGCGCATGCGAACGCAGCCACTGGAGCCTTCGGCGGAGCTTCCTGTGCGGCCACGAAACGTGTGAGGGATGTGCCGGAGTGGGCGCGGTGGGTACATGCGAACGCAGCCATTGTGGCCTCCGGTGGGATTCCTTGTGAGGCCACTAAACGTGTGAGGGGTGTGCCGAAATGGGTGCGGTGGGCGCATGCGAACGCACCCATTGGGTCCTTCGGTGGGACTCCCTGTTGGGCCACGAAACGTGTGAGGGGTGTGCCGAAATGTGTGCGGTGGGCGGATGCGAACGCAGCCAGTGTGGTTTTCGGTGGAGCTCCTTGTGAGGCCACTAAACGTGTGATGGGTGTGCCGAACTGTGTGCGGCGGGCGCATGTGATCGCAGCCGCTGGGGCCTTCGGTGGGGCTCCCTTTGGGGCCACGAAACGTGTGAGGGGTGTGCCGGACTGGGTGCGGTGGGCGCATGCGAACGCAGCCACTGGGGCCCTCAGTGGGGCTCCCTGTGGGGCCACGAAACGTGCGAGGGGTGTGCCGAAACGGGTGCGGTGGGCACATGCGAACGCAGCCACTGGGGGGGTCGGCGGAACTCCCTATGGGGCCACGAAGCGTATGAGGACTGTACCGAAATTGGTGCGGTGGGCGCATGCGAACGCAGCCACTGGGGCCTTCGGTGGAGCTCCCTGTGGGGCCACGAGACGTGCGAGGGGTGTGCCGAACTGGGTGCGGTGGGCGCATGCGAACGCAGCCACTGGGGCCTTCGGTGGAGCTCCCTGTGGGGCCACGAAACGTGTAAGGGGTTTGCCGAAATGCAGAGGGAAGGAAAGGAAAGGACAGGAGAGAGGGCGGCGCTCTTGTGGGAGCAGGGAGGAGGCGCGGGAGGAGGAGAGGAGAGGAGGAGTGACGCGGGGCCGTCCTTCGAAACGAGGACCCAGCACCACAGGATGGTTGGGAGCAGAAAGCAGCAACAAATCTCTTGCGCTCCAGCGTGCGCGCGGGTGCCCCGTCGCTCTCGCCCGCCGTGCCCCCCAGACGCTAGAAGCCGACGATCCGGGAAGCCGCCGGGCCCCGCATCGGGCGAGCCCGCGGATGAGGAGGTGGAGGAGGAGGAGGAGCAGGAGAGGGGACGAGGTCGAGGGTGAGGATGACGGAAGACACCCCTCAGGCCAGAGGAGGAGGAGGAGGAGGAGGAGGAGGAGGAGGAGGAGGAGGAGGAGGAGGAGGAGGAGGAGGAGGAGGAGCAAGAGGAGGGGGGCGATTGCGACAGAGAAAGGCTGGCGGACGTCTCCCCCTCGCCTGCACCCTGCCTCCCCCTCCCCTATCCCACCAGATGAGGACACAGGTGAGTCCGCTTCTTGCACCGGGCCCGCATCCCCGCGATCCGGACAAAGTTGCAGGGTCGGGGGGGTCTGCGGCCCCCGCTCGGTCCATCCAGCCGCGGCGATTTCTCTTCAGCCTGCCTTGCCGCGCTGTCGCGTCGTTACCGCTAGACCGCTCTACTTGACTGCTGTGAAAAATGGGGAGGAGGGGGAGGACGATCGACGGGAGGGAGGGGGACGGGGTTGCGAGGGGGATGCGGGGGGGGGGGGGGGGGGCGGGGGCGGGGCGGGGAGGGAGAGTATGAGATGGGAGGAGGAGGACGAGCAAGGGGAGGCGAGTGGGGACGATGGGGTGAGGGGGGAGAAGTGGAGACGAAGGGTGGCTTGGGGGAGAGTGAGGGAACGGGGGGAGGCGAGGAGGGGTTCGGAGATGGGAACGGAGGCGGGGGAGGACGGGGAAGAAGAGGACAAGGAGAGATGGCGAGAAGGAGATGTGAAGGCAAGGAAGCCGACTGGGGAGGACGACGAGGGCGGGCGGACGGGCGAGGAGGAACATGAGCGAGGAGTGTGGCTTGGTGAACACAATGGAGGGGAGGAGGGTTAAGGGTAGGAAAGCATAGGAAAACTAATCCAAGCGGCACGCGACACGGTGTCGCCAGTGTCCAGCATGGCAACTTGCCGAGATTCACGCCAGCAGGAATCATATAATCGATGCATGTCGCTTATGTTTTTATTCGTCGTGCTTCCTTTTTTCCTCCTCTACATCCTCCTCTCATGCTCTTCCTCCTCCTGCTGCTCGTCCTCCTCATCGCCCTGCTGCTCCTCCTCACGGCCATCCTCCTCAGCCGAGCTGTTCTGGCTCGATTGGAGCCGCCTCGAACTTTCGGGGAAACGATTCGGTACCGGGCTCGAGCCCCATAGCCCTTAGCAAGACATGATCGACTCACGAACCCAGAAATGGATTTTGAATTGCGAGGCATGGAAACGTTCCAAAGGACCCCAAATGAGCGATGGGCATTGGCAAGGTCCAAGATATAGATGGTGATGGTATTGTGACAGGGCTAGATTATGCGGCGCTGCACTGCGCTGTGCTGTGCTGCACAGTGATGTGCCATGGAACGCGCCAACGGACATGCCACGGGACGCGCCGCGGGACATCCCAGGGGGACGCGCCGCGGAACCTCCCAAGGGACGCGCCAAGGGACGTGCCAGGGGACGTGCCAGGGGGACGCACCGCAGGACGTGCCAAGAGGACGCGCCACAGAACGTGCCAGTGGACGTGCCAGGGGGACGCGCTGCGCGACGTGCCAGGGGGACGCGCCGCGGGACGAGCCACGGAACGTGCCAGGCGACGCGCCAGGCGACGTGCCAGGGGGCGCGTCAGAGAACGTGCCATTGGGCGCTGCACGGGACTCGCCAGAGACGCGCCGGGGGACGCGCCGCGGACCACCTGGAACCTCCCCGGACCTCCGCGCCCCGCGGTTGGTCGAGATGTCAGGCGCCACGAAGCCTCGTGAATTGCGCTGCGTCTACGCTCCTTGGCGTGCGATCCATCGCACGTACCGTTGGGCCCGCACTCCCAGCGCCACGATCACTCGGAAATGAGGCTACGTTCGCTCCCCGAAGGCCAAGATCCATTGTAATGTACGCAGCGTCCGTGCTCCCAGTGCCACGACCCCTCGCCAATCACGCTGGGGTTGCGCTCCCGGTGCTAGAATGCACTGTGATGTACGCTCGGCCCCGGGTAAATTACGCAGGTATGCCAAAGGTGCTCTGCAGGTACGTCGGACACAATCGGTGAAGGTGCTCCGAACGTACTCTGAAGGTTCGCGGTTTCTGTATTTGTTGTTGCTAAGAAGCAGTATTGAAGGCACGCCGAAGGCCCGATGGAGGCACGCGCGTCCAATCCAGCGCAGGCACCATGAGGGCACGCCGCAGGTGGACAGGAGTGGCGGGGGAGAGGGCAGACCCCCCACTGCCCCCTTCGGTCCCCCCAGGCCCAGCGGACGCAGAACAGCACCTCCTCCTCGCTGCTCCTTTTCCTCTTCTTCCTCCTCTCGCTCCTGCGGCTTCTCCTTCTCCTCCTCCTCCTCCTCCTCCTCCTCCTCCTCCTCCTCCTTCTCCTTCTCCTCCTCGCCGTCCTACTCCTCCTCGTCGTCCTCCTCCTCATGCTCCTCCCTCTCCTCCACCTCTTCGTCCACCTCGTTCTCCTCGTCCTCCTCTTCCCCCTTTCTCCGGGCTACTACTCGCGACGGACCCGGCAACGAGCGCCCTCCGACGGCGCCGCGCTCCCTGGGCCGCGAGCACGCGCACAAATCGCACTCCGCCCGCGCTCCGAGGGCCGCGATCCCTCGTAAAACCAGACGGCGTCCGCGCTGCCAGGGCTATGATGCAGTCGGGCGTGTCCCCCTACAGGGGGGTTTTCGACGAACAACTAAAAATACCCGCAAAATAGTCCAACAACCGTCCGGAAAGAAAATAAATCAATGATTGCTTGGGAGCATTAAAACAAAAAAGGTCAACACAGATAGCCCCAAAAGGTCAAACAGATACGCAAAAAACAGTCCCCATATCATGTTTTGAATAGTATTTCATATTTTGGGGTTTTGTATGTTTCGTCAAAAATCCCCCTGGAGGGGGACAGGCCCGACATGAGGCTATCATCGCTCGTAGGTCACACTGCGCCCGCTTCCCCAGGGCAGCGGCCCTTCGCAAGCTGCGCCGCGCCCGGGCTCCGAAGGCCGCGGCTTTCCCGGCGAGGTGCGCTGAAGGCGCGCTCCCGGTGCCGAAATCCACTGTGATGTGCGCTGCGTCCACGCCCCCAGTGTTAAGGAGGACGAGGAGGACGAGGAGGACGAGGAGGACGAGGAGGAGGAGGAGGAGGAGGAGGAGGAGGAGGAGGAGGAGGGGGGGGAGGAGGGCCTGGGGGCGATTGTTTGACTATTTTGGAGTATTTGCAATGTATGTTTTAATTTTTAAAATGTTTCACCCAGAATCCCCCTGTAGGGGGACACGCCCGACCCTCACCCCAGTGTCACGATCAATTGAACAGTACGCTAGGTTCGCGCTCCCAGCGCAACGTTCCCTTGTGAACCACGTTGGAGTCGCGCTCCCAAGGCCAGGATCCCTGGCAAATGGCACTGGGGGCGCGGCCCGGCCCTGGGGCCACGGCCCCTTCGTACACGACGTTGCGTCCGCGCTACCAGGGCCGCGATCGTGCAGGAGTTGCGCGGCGTCCGCGCTCCCAGGGCCATGACCCCTTGTAGAGTACGCTGGGCTCGCGCCCCCAGGGCCACGATCCTTCGCAGAGTACGCTGCAGTGGAGGCCCATGCCAAGAAACACCCCGCTTGCCTCCAGGGTGCCCTGGCTTTCTCGGGTTTCGAGGGTGTTGCTACGGAAAGCGCGGCGCTCCCGCACCGAAACTCAATGGACGTCCTGGGGTGGAGTCTCAGGGTTGGGTTTCTTGTGAAAGGTTTCTTGTGGTCGGGCCCATACTGCATCCACGGCCACGACCCCTTGAAAATTGCGCTGCGCCCGCACGATCCCCCAGGAATGGCGCTGCTTCCGCTCGTACCCCCGCTGGCCGCGACGCCTTGCAACCTGCGCTGCGTCCGATGCTCCCAGGGTTACAAAGCACGGCGCGGAGGTTGTCCAAGAAGCACCGTCCGAGCGATGCCAAAGATCAAGGGGGACGTCACCACCCACCAAACCGCCCCAACCCAACCCGAAGGCTCGGACTTACCCTCGATTTCCAGTGGGGGGGGGGGTCGGGGACCATCGAAAAAACACGCGTGGAACCCTTACCCCCCCCAACCCGAAATTCGGGCCTTCGGGCTGGGTTGGGGTGGTCTGGTAGGTCGTCAGGACGACATCGACCGACGACTCGGCGAGGCGCCGCCGATGCATCGGCGACGGGCCCCCGCGGGCGAGCCCGCACGCCCCCTCGCCGGGCTGGGGCCGCCGGGCCCCCGCCGGCGCTCGGCGGGCGACGGAGGGCGGCTGCTCGCCTGCCGGAGGGGCCCTGGGACACACAAATAAATACACAGATAAAATCAAGAGGGGAGAAAACACACACAGACACAATGAATCGTCGATTCCCAGAAAATCTGGGGAAGTATGGGAAGTGGGGGGGAAGACAAACACCCAGAAAATGTAGGAAACGATGGGGAATATGTTTATTTGCGTGTATTTATTTGTGTGTCCTGGGGCCCCTTCATAAAAGGATCCCCCATTTTTTCCCTCCAAATTTTCTGGGTCTATGTCTTCCCTCCCACTGCCCATATTCTCCCACATTTTCAGGGGAATCGACGATGAATTGTTTCTCCTCCGGAACCTGCCAGAGCAGAGCCGGATGGAAGCGCGAAATCGAATCGGATCGGAACAAAATTAGGGGAACAAAAAGTGGCACAAACATAACACCTCGGAGGTCCGCGCGGATTTCTCGGATCGGCGCTGGACCCCCGTCCCTGGCGCGCGGAGCGCGCCAGGGGCGGCGCCCGAGGCGCCGCCAGGGGGCCCCAGCGCGGATCCGAGAAATCCGCGCGGACCTCCGCCTTTTTCATGTTTATGTCACTTTTCGTTCCCCTAGTATCGCCGAGTCCAGGTCGATGTCGTCCCCCTTGAGCTTGTCAACCCCTGATCGTTGCCCCCCAGCCCAGTTTGGGCTCGCGGTCCGTACGCACCGTGTGGCGCTCACGAATGCGATTGCGGCTTCGATGGCGATGCTTCCTTGTTGCCTACTTGCTGCCTTGTGAGTTCATCGCAGGTGATCGTCACCGCACCCATGTCGTCACTCTGAGGCCTCCAAGCAGACCTTGGCAGTAGGACGGGCATACTGGGCTCGAACCCCATGTTGATCCACTCCTGCTGGCCAGCACCCTTGCATTCAGGAAGCAGTCGGGAGGCCAAAGTTATAATGCTAGGGTCCATTTCGATCCGATTCGAAATCCATTTCGGCACGCCCGATCCGATTCGATTCCGGTTTTCCGACAATTTCATGCGGGTTGACGTTTGCGTGGCGCCATTGTGCATCTTGGCGCCGCCGATTCGATTCGATTCCGATTCCGTGTCGGTGTGGCCCGATCCGTCGCACGCTCTGATCCGCTCCGATTCGATTCGGTGTTGACCGATTTTGCAATGTGTGGTCGGGAGGTCGCGGCCGAGAGTCTCGCCGCACGGCACCCCGCCGGTTGT